TGCCTTGGTGATAAATGGACGTATGCCTTATTCCCAAGAATTAGGCTCCACCTTTTGGCCCAGTGCTTATATCTAAGCTTCAACCCTTGATCCAGCACCAAATCCTTACCTTAAAATCTGCATACATTCCAGACTCTAGAGTCTGCTCTGCCCTTTGGATGAAAGCCTGATCCCTGAATAGAAATCTCCAAGCAGACCTCCCTGACTCACTGCCTTCAACTTCCTGAAAGCTACTCAACTCCGCAGGACCTGTGGATATTCTTAGTCCACCAGTCCCTCCCTCTACATCAAGCACGTCAAACTCAGAGGCTAACACGGACCAAATAAACGAGGCATGCAGCTTGTGGGCTGTGAGTTTGACATGCTTGGTCTACATCTTTTACATCACCCAGTACTAACTGATTTCCTCATCTGGAAGGTGTAATCACAGAATACATGCAGTACGGTGGGTTTTGTTTTTGTTATTTTTCAAGATCAGACAGTGTTGAGCACCTACAATAATATACATCCCTCTGCCTGCCCCAAATAAGAGCTTCCCCTCCTGTTTTTCAGTCTTCTCTTGCTGACTGAGCCATGCCCAGTCCTGTCTGGAAATATTGCAATGGTGACATTAAAACTTTCCTCTTAAAATTCCAGCTCTGAGTGAAGGTCCATTCCAAGCCTCTTCAAAGCAATAAAAAAGTGAGTCATAAGAGACTTTTTCAATGACAAAGATGTTCAACCCATAGTGTAATCCCTTATGATTTTGAAGAACTCTTTTCATAACATTATTTTCTCTGAGTAAATTTAGAATGTGTGGATAATAATGTGGTCGGTGCCACAGGAAACTACAAATATCAGTGAACAACCTTTAATAAGACATAAAAATTCTCAATATCTGTTGGTACTGGTTTCCCATAAGAACAGATATTTCACAAGAAAAAGGGCAAAGCTGCCAACTAATCTTCAGATCAGAAGCAGGCACTAGGAGTGTTCCGGCAACTGCACAGAGATATCAAAGCTAGCACTTTGTCTTTTGATGAAGTATTGCCCTTTTCCCCCAAGTAATATCTAATTATTAATGCTCTTCCCAAGAATAGTAACATCCGTGCCCATGTGCTCATTGTCATGGGCTCGTGCCCATGTGTGTCGTTGTCACAAAGTAGACACCGGCTGATAATTATAAGGGCTTCTCTATTTCATGACTAAGGAAAAGGTTATTAGCAGAGATATTGTTTTAGGATGCCATTTCCAGATGTGTTAAATAAAACCAGCTCTCACCCAAAAGCCACCTTTACTCCTTTTCTAATGAACTAATATTAGCACAATTGAGCAAATGGTATAGGTAAAAAGACATGGAGAATCTGAAAATTAAGATCTGAACCTAATTCCAGTCATTATTGGTATGAATTTGGCTTAAAAATATCTTTAGGCCTCAGTATCCTCATCTGTAAAGTAGGCCCATCAGTACTGCTTAGTTTATTATTGTGAGGAAAAAATGGGTGAAAGTATATTATAAAGCCTTATACAAATATAAGTGATTATTATTATTATACTGACATTCTGAGATTGTTTGCAAAGAAGCACAGCTAGACAGAGAGTTGTTGGCAGATGGTAATATGACTATACTCTTCCAGAAGTCACAAGGGTGTGTGTGTGTGGGGGGGGCGGGGGGCGCTAATATGGTTCAGATCACTTCCTGTCCAAAAAGTGTCATCACAACAGGAATCTTTGAATAGCAGACACAGGTCACATGGTTTAAGAAATATTTGAGCCCCATAAAAGCATGTCCATCAGCATTAAAGAAATTGAAATTTGTTTTAATAAAATTTAAATATGAATGAAATCTATGCACTTCTAGTACCTCATCAAATAAATATATCTGTATGACTAAAGGCAGAATTTTTTTTCCTGCGATAAAGAGAGAGAAATTCTAATCTTTTACTTTTCTGTTCCTTTCACTTGAACCAATGAAGAAACTCAGTGAGCATCCAGATTGAGCAATATATTTCAAATGAAGGCAGGCATGTAATGCACAAATTTCTATCCAAAGACATTCAGACTATCTAATGAAGCAAAGTCTGCCTATGAGCTCCTCCCAAGTTATCAAAGACACCTCAATATTCACTCATATTTGCACCTTTTACCCCAAATGTTATGAACAGTTCTAGACATCCTGTTAACACAATACTGCAGTCTGCTCATAAGAATATAAACGGTCACTTACTAGGCACCTGCTCTATGCCAGACAGAGTGCCAATCACTGAGAAGAGAGAGGACTATCTAATGAAGCAAAGTCTGCCTATGAGCTCCTCCTGAGTTATCAAAGACACCTCAATACAGTCATAGTCACTCATATTTGCACCCTTTACCCTAAAAGTTATAAACAGTTCTAGATATCCTGTTAACACAATACTGCAGTCTGCACATAAGAAAATAAACAGTCACTTACTAGGCATCTGCTCTATGCCAGACAGAGTACCAGTCACTGAGAAGAGAGAGATGAACAATACAGTCAGGTTCCTAGTCAACTGATTCACAAGGTTCATCCTCCATCAGTGCCACCATCATGTGTGCAGGAAGGAAGGGAGACCGCAAGTGTGGCACTTGTGGGCCCCTCCTAGATCCTGGGCTTTGATGACTCCAACTGTGGCCACTGCTCCCAACCTCCTCCAGTTCCTAAATAGAGCTTCCTGTCTCTAGGATGGCCTTCTTTCTGTGTCTAGAAGAAAGTATCTTCAGATATCCTTTTTGCTTCCTTTCTCATGTGAAAATATTCATGAGTACAAGTGGAAGAAGAAAATAAACAAAGGCCTTTCCTGTCTACTGGAAAATATGTGGAGGGAATAAGAATTTGTTCATTTGCCCATTCATTAAAACTAGAGCTAATGAGCACTGAAGACTTTCTGAGATAAATGTAAGTTTCTGGAGACACAAAGGGAAAAAGACAGTTTCTGCTGGAAAGAAAGCCTTTCCTGTCTACTGGAAAATATGTGGAGGGAATAAGAATTTGTTCATTTGCCCATTCATTAAAACAAGAGTTACTGAGCACTGAAGACTTTCTGAGATAAATCTAAATTTCTGGAGACACAAAGATGGAAAAAGACAGTTTCTGCTGGAAAGAAAGCCCCAGTTCAGTAGCAGGGTGCAGGCATATGAATAATATGGTGACACTAGGCAAATGTTATACTAGTGGTGAATGTGGGTACCAGGATCAATGGGAACACTAAGAGGGACACTGCCTATTTCTAGAGTTTTGTGGAAGGAAGGGATAAGCTTTACCAGACCTTTGAGGGGAATATGGAAAATTGGAATCCAAAAGGGGAGGAGAGAGGAGCTCTAGGATAAGAAGCATGTGCCAAGAGTTTTAGACATAAAAGGCCATGGCTCAGGGATTCCAAGCATACAACATGGCCGTGCTGTAGAGAGAGGCCAAAAGAGCTTGGGAAGGTGGGTGGCTTTGAAGGTGTTGGACAGTAGAATATGGGGTTTAGACTTTTATTCTCTGGGCACAGAATTTAAAGCAAGAAAGTGATGCAGGCCAAGAGTTTTAGACATAAAAGGCCATGGCTCAGGGACTCCAAGCATACAACATTGCTGTGCTGTAGAGAGAGGCCAGAAAGAGGCTGGGAAGGTGGGTGACTTTGAAGGTGTTGGACAGTAGAATATGGGGTTTGGACTTTTATTCTCTGGGCAGAGAATTTAAAGCAAGAAAGTGATGCATACAAACCTGAGTTTTGGTAATATTCTTCTGAAGACTGTAGACAATGGACTGCAAAATGGAAACAGACTTCAGTTAATAATTTATTAGATGAATGAAAATGATTAATGTGAGAAAATAAAAAGTAATAAATTCAAATGTGCCTCAGTGGATAGAGCATCAGCCTGTGGACCAAAGGGTCCCAGGTTCTATTCTGGTCAAAGGTACGTACCTTGGTTGCAGGCTCTTTCTGGCTCAAGCCCTGGTTGGGGCACATGCAGAAGGCAAGCAACTGATGTGTTTCTCTCTGTCTTTCCCTCTCTATTCTCTTCTCCCTAAAAATGAATGGAAAAAATCCTTGGGTGAGGATTAACAAAAATATAAAAATAATAATTAATTAATAAATTCAAAAACAAGATCTTTCAGAGGTAAAATCAGCAGTACCTCAAGGCAAAGTGAATGAGGGGAGTGAGCAGTAGGTGGAAATAAATAACTCAGAGCTTTTTCTCCAAGACAAATGATTGAGTTGGGATATCATTGACTGAGATGGAAAGAAAAATATTTTAAGAGAAGTAGTAAAGAGCAAAGATTAACAGTTTGGTTTAAGTTTATTGAGTTTGAAGTACCCAATGCCATCTACCTGCTGTCTAACAGCAGTTGGAATTACAGGTCTGTAGAATACCAACTAAAAACATTAATTGGAGTATCATTAGCATAAATACTTCATGGTTGAGATAATATATGAGAGCAAAAAGAAAAAAACCCAGGGAACCCCAACTGAGGAGTAGGATGAATGATGAGTAGAAGGAATCTGTTCCATAGTCATAGCCATGACCTTGGAGTTTCAGACTAATACATATAAGTATTCTATGTTACAAGACCATCCTCAAAGAGGCCAAAATCCTACCAAGGAAAAATGAAACTGAACAAAAAGCAGGCTGCAGGATGTGACGCCTTTCCTAGCTCTTTTTCCTTTGCTGATCTTTTCAAACAAAGGAATTTTAAATGCACATATATTTTGTTAGTGTCTTTCATGCATTAATTCATTCTTTGATTCCTTTGTCAAATAGAAAACCCGGTTCACAGTACTGCTATACAGCCACCATCTAGTGGCAAAATCTGGTAACTACAGAACTGTAAATTGGGGGTGAAGGTGGTTCACTGGCAGTTTTAAGAATTTTGCTTCCTGAAAGGTAGTCCATGATGACAGAGAATGGGAAGAAGCAGGTTTTCTATAATTTTTTAAAATTTTTTAAATTTATTTCAGAGAGGAAGGGAGGAGAGGGAGAGAGAGATAGAAACATCAATGATGAGAGAGAATCTTCGATCACTGCCACCTGCATGCCCCCTAGTGGGGATTGAGCCCCAAACCTGGCATTTACCCTATCTGGGAATTGAATGGTAAATTCATGGTTCATGGGTTGATGCTCAACCACTGAGCCACACCAGCCAGTCTAATTTTTATGAGCACTAATTATGGAAAATAGAAACTTACATTTATGAATGCTTTTCCTTTGAGTGCTATAGGGAACCATAGTATGAGCCACAGCTTCTGTAGGATTATCTGGTCTCAGGTGACATGGCAACACCTAATTAGACTGATAGAAACATGATCAGTACCCACAACCAGTCTTTATAATCTAAACACTTTATCATGTCCTACAGAGCTTTATAGGATCTAGCCACTGGCCATCTCTCCAGCCTTTTGTCACTTTACCTTTGACCATTACAATGCAGCCACAGAGACCTCCTTGCTATTACTTAAACATAAATTCATTCTAGCCACAGGGCCTTTCTATTTACTATTTCACCTCTTCCACCAATTCTTTCTACCACTTCTCCTTCTCCTCTTAGGTCTCTGTTTAAATATTTCCTTCTCAGAGAGATCTTCCCTGATAACTCTAACTCAAAACCCTTCTTCCCCCAGTTTATTTCTTCCTTGGCACTTAGCACTATCTGAAGTTATATTATTCACTTACTTGGCAAAAAATAAATAAAAATAAAAAATCTACAGTGCAAATTCCATGAGAGAATGAATTTGAATTGCATTGTTTACTAGCACCTAGAGGAGTGCTATCACATAAAAGGTGTTGAACAAATAATTGAGGACTGAGTGAATTAACTAGGGCAGTGATGGCGAACCTATGACACGCTTGTCAGAGGTGACACGCGAACTCATTTTTTTTGGTTGATTTTTCTTTGTTAAATGGCATTTAAATATATAAAATAAATATCAAAAATATAAGTCTTTCTTTTACTATGGTTGCAAATATCAAAAAATTTCTATATGTGACACGGCACCAGAGTTAAGTTAGGTTTTTTCAAAATGCTGACACGCCGAGCTCAAAAGGTTCGCCATCACTGACATAGGGGGTGCCTAGGCAGTGTCTGGGCAAAAGATAGAGTTGAGCAGACTGCAATCTACACAGAATCATGTGACGAAAAGACCCAGGCCAAAGATTTTGATATATAAGTAGGAAGGTCCAGCATGTAATGGACACATCCTCCTTAAGGTTTGCTAACCAAGTGTGGCCAAGGCAGATAGTGTGAACTTGAGGCTTACTCAACATTTAGGAATAAGAGTTCAAATAACAGACTGTTGGTGGTGGAGGGATTAGAATAGAGGCTCCGAGCTTTACAGGAAGCTAGTTCTCAACCCCCCTCCAAGCAATTTATCCATCTACTTAAAAGACCTATATCAACAAGGACTTGTATGCCCTAACAAGAGAGGAAGTAAAGAAGATCTGCATGCAGCAGTTTATTAAGATTGAAAGTAGACCACCAACTTACACCATACAAAAAAATAAACTCAAAATGGATAAAGGACTTAAATGTAAGATGGGAAACCATAAAAATCTTAGAGGAATCCATAGGCAGCAAAACATCAGACATATGTCATAGCAATATCTTTACCGATACAACTCCTAGGACAATGGAAACTAAAGAGAAAATAAACAAATGATACTACATCAAAATAAAAAGTTTCTGCACAGCAAAAGAAACCATCAACAAAACAATAAGAGAGCCAACAATTAGACTGATAGAAACATGATCAGTACCCACAACCAGTCTTTATAATTCAAACACTTTTTTTGCCAATGTTACATCCAATAAGGGTTTAATCTCCAAAATTTATAGGGAACTCATACAACTTAAGAAAAAGGAAAATAAACAATCTAATCAAAATATGGGCAAAGGACATAAATAGACACTTTTCAAAAGTGGACATACAGAAGACCAAGAGACATTTGAAATCATGCTCAAAGTCACTAATCATCCAAGAGATGCAAATCAAAATGACAATGAGGTACCATCTCACACCTGTCAGAATGGCTATCATCAACAAAGGAGAAGTGCTGACGAGGATGCAGAGGAAAAAGAAACCCTCATGCACTGCTGGTGGGAATGCAGCCAGGTGCAACTACTGCGGAAACAGTATGGAATTTTGTCAAAAAATTAAAAATGGAACTCCCATTTGACCCATTAATCCCACTTCTAGGAATG